CGACATATAAATCACATTTGGGAGTTCAACTTATAAATCCAATTTCTGCTCTCCTCTTCTCCGTTTTTGTTTAACATTAAGTTGCATTATTCGTTTTGACTTATACTAGAGCAGTGAAAGTGTACTTTCTCTTACTCAATGTTACTCCAATGTACTTAATTTTTTTCTGGTAATTAATTGAATTTTATTCCATGTACTTAATTAATGAAAAAGTTTAACCAAAGTAAGCATTGCTGCAAAATTTTAAAAGAAGGATTAAAGTAATAGAGATTCCCGAATTTTGCTTTAACTCTTCCAGCTTTGAAAAATAGACATTCTCTTCCCATCTCAATTGAATTTTTAATGCGATATTTTAACCTATAAATTATCATTCTTATATTTTTTTTATGATATCCTGATATTTTTTTCTCTTTTAAAATCTATGTTACTTGCGTATGACCAAATGGATCTTATTTTTTTATATGAGAAAAAATAAAGAATAGAAATCAAGTATATGAGTTAATGGCATTGAAAAAAAGTAGAAATTAGCAAAATAAAAAGACTTGAGAAACAAAATTTGGTCGTATAAGTCTTTATATTGATAGTAAACAGAACTCAAAAACTAATTATGTATAAAATTGAATACAGAAAAGTGAGAACTTTATAACCATATACTTAATGCATATAATACCAAAAAGGTATTAAAATTAGGGGTAGATTTTACAACAAATCCCTAATAAATTATTGATTATCCAAAGTTGGAGGATGAGCTAGATTTATAAGAAAAGATAGATAATGTAAATGATTGTCACTCATTAACATTTGTATTTCCTACCTGAGCTCTCTAATACAAATATTAGTAGATTTTCAAACACTTCACTTATTATTATTTTTTCTCTCTCGTCAATTTCTTGAATTACAATACATCCATAGTCCTGAAAAAAACAACTAATATGCACTCTATATATAGTTTAAGTATTATAAAACATAATAGTTAATTAGATAAAAGAGTCATTTCTTTCTAATTGTTTAATTGTTTAAGTAAAATATGACTATTGACTTCAATGTGGTATTGAACGGAGGTACATAGTTCAAATCTTACTAAATCTTATTATTTTAGAAAATGCATTCACGTGCTTAACTTCTTTTTATTTTTAATAATATAGTATCCGGACTAGCTTATGTGCACATTGATTATTCATGAGTTTAACTTGAGAAAAATAAATCCAATCAACAAGCCGGAGATGATCACTCAATAAATAATAAGTGTCTTGATTTGTTACTTTGTCGAGGATGATGAAATGCATGTATTAAATATAATATAGAGGCTTAAAATGCATATTTAAAATTACAAAACTACCAATCCTGTAATTTAATATAACTTTTTTTTTAATTTATCCCAAAAAGTATAATACCTTTCTATATTTAATAATAATTTACTATAATTTAAAATTTCCAATTTTTCTTGTAACGTTATAATTTTATAGTCACAAAAATATCATAATATATTTAAGACCATGAAATTTAAAAATCTTTCTTTATCTATTAAATTATATGCCTAGTTAAACATCTTAATGTAGAATGGACGGAGGAAGTACTATCCAATCAAAATTAAGTACTCTCTTTTTCTTGTGTTGTGAAAATAATAAAAAATAAAAAGAAATTAAACATTAGGCTGGCCCCATTTAATAGATTGGCGTGACCCACACATTATTACATCACAAGAAGTTAAAGTTCACAACATATTAAAACTAGCCGTTACAAAATCTAACGTTAACTTCCACTTTTATTCAACTTCAAAAAACATCAAAAGATACAAACTTTTGTTCTTTCAATTCATTCTCTCTCTTCTCTCTCTCCTTTTCCCCTCTTCTATTTTCAGCTCAGACAAAATTCTCAATTCTCAGAAGAAAAACAAAGCCGAATCTTGAATTTTCCTTCTTGAATTCAAGCTATTTTTACATCTCTAATGGCGCCAACGCCTTCTTCGAAAAACCAGAGAACCCCAACTCCATTTTCAAGATTAAATCAAACCCAAATACCCAATTCAAGAACACCTCAATCAAAGCACCGTTTAAATTTCACCACAGCAGTAAAAGAAGGGCCAGCAGCAGAGCACCCAATAGAAGTAATAGGCCGAATTCGCGATTATTGTTCAGATAAAAATAAAGAAAAGGCGATATCTTTATTACATATTAATCCTGATCGCGAGTCGTTAAGAGTTAAAACCGACAATGGATACAGAGATTTTAGTCTAGATGGTGTGTCATTATCTGAAGAAGAAGATCTTGATGATTTTTACAAGAAATTCGTGCAGTCGAGAATTAATGGAGTTAAATTAGGAGAGAAATGTACAATTATGATGTATGGACCGACGGGTGCTGGAAAAAGTTATACTATGTTTGGAAGTAATAAACAGCCTGGAATTGTATATAAGTCGTTAAGAGATATATTGGGTGATGGAAATGAAGAAAATGATGAAAATGGTGTTGGGATTTTTGTGCAAGTTACTGTTTTGGAGATATATAATGAGGAATTATATGATTTGTTATCTACTAATAATGGTGGAGGATTTGGTTTTGGTTGGTCTAAGGGCAATGCTTCTAAGGTAAATATTTGAATTTTCTTCTGATTATATTTAATTGATGCACTGATTTTTGCAAATGTGGTTATTTTAACCAGAGGCGGAACTAGGATTTGAGGCGAAACTAGGATTTGAAGTTTATGGGTTCAAAATTATAGCACTTTTAAGATAATGTGGTCCACATTTAATTTTTACATATTAAATGAATTTCGTAAGACCAGAGTTTGGACCAAAGTGGCCGGGTTCGGCCAACCCGTACCGTCAATGTTATCTACGCCACTGATTTTAAGTACTCCCCTCTGTTCCATTTTATGTGACCGCATTTGTCTGAGCACGAAATATAAGAAAAAAAAATACTCTTGAAACTTGTGGTCTAAAAGTGACCATAAACGTTTGTGTGGTTATAGAATTATGTTATTAAGTATAAACTTGGAAGCTTAAAGTTAAATTATTTTTAGATATAGAAATGTATCATTTTTTTAGGATAGACTAAATGAGAAAGTTTGCCATATAAAATGGAGCTAAGGAAGTACAACAACATACCCAGTATTATCCCACATTGTGGGGTCTTGGGAGGGTAGTGTGTACGCACACCTTACCCCTAGACGCTCAGCTAGACGTTGTTTCCAATAGACGCTCGGCTCAGGAAGTAATTCATAATTTTTTTATGTTTTAGGAGATATTTCTTATTCTGTAATGTAGATTTGTGCTATCACACATATTATTATGTTTAGAAGAAAAAGAGAAATTTATTGCCAGTTAATTTGAAAACTTAAATTTTTATCGAAATTCAGCATTTTGAACAATGATCAGCCTGAATCAATTTATAGCCTGAATTATGCTTGAAATTCTCAAGTTTCACTATTTTTTATAGAGTGGACTACTTGGACAATGATCAGCCTGAATCAATTTATCTTCTCCTATTATTTTTCTGTTAATATTGATTCTCATTTGTCATCTATAAATTATGCTATACAGATATTTGATCTTTTATCTTTTTGTGACATTTTCTCACTTGAGTATAATATCTTCTCCGTACCTTCACAAGGAAGGGATAAGGTCTGCGTACATATTACCCTCCCCAAACTCCACTTGTAGGATTACATTGGGTTTGTTGTTGTTGTAGTTGTCGAGTATAATATCTTCTCCTCATGTAAATTGACTATGCGTTTTCGCGTTACATATATATACCTGACTTTAAATGGATGTTGCTGTTGTTATTAAATACAGAATGCTAATGCTTTATAGTACTTCACTTAATTTCTTGAATTGCCAATCATTTATAGTTCTTTGCCTAGTTTTGTGGTACATATTTTCGCCTAAGCGACATTGCTGTTACAAGAAGGAGATGTGTTGTACCTTAAGAGGGAGTGAATAAAAGAGTGACTAGATCTTCTTGTACCCTTTATAAGTCTCTGTATAATGTTGTCATTGTGTTTTTACCTTTGCAGGTGAGACTTGAAGTTATCGGTAAAAAGGCCAAAAATGCAACTTTTATTTCTGGTAATGAGGCTATAAAGATATCAAAGGAGATCCAAAAAGTGGAGAAGAGAAGAATAGTGAAAAGCACTTTGTGCAATGAGCGGAGTTCTCGCAGCCACTGCTTGGTATCAATTCTAAAAATTTGTTTAACGACGTCTAAATGGAAAGAAGTTCATTTACTCTCCTCTATTCATCTTTTCTGAAGGAAGCTAAATGTTGTTTGCAGATAATTCTTGATGTTCCAACAGTAGGAGGTCGACTAATGCTTGTCGACATGGCTGGTTCTGAGAATATAGAACAAGCTGGTCAAACTGGCCTAGAAGCAAAAATGCAGGTAAGGTTTCATTTTCTTTTACTTAACTCACTTCTTTTAAGTTTGCTATTAGATGTCCTACTAACATTAATTCTAAATGTCTCCTACTGGTAATTGACAATCAAATTTTGCAGACTGGAAAAATAAATCAGGGTAACATTGCTCTGAAAAGGGTGGTCGAGTCCATTGCTAATGGTGATTCTCATGTGCCATTCCGAGACAGCAAGTTAACCATGCTCTTACAGGTATATCTCGTGTATACCATCGATAGTTTGGCAGTAACCTTTTGAAAGTTATACTAGTCGTTGGAAGAAGTTGATTCAACTATTTGATGTAGTTGAGTCCATTAAAAGGGAAATCTACGTTGTATAGCCGCCCTCCAAAGTAATAGCCGGAAAGCATATATTTTTTGTATATTAATAAATAGTATATATAATATATATATATATATATATATATATATATACTATTGACAAGAGTGGGCTGCGCTAGTGGTGAGCACCCTCCACTTCCAACCAAGAGATTGTGAGTTCGAGTCACCCCAAGAGCAA